CAAATATTTGAGTTCAATTTGATTTGATTTGATTTGATTTGAAAAAATCAAATCAAATTCAAATTGCTTAAATATTTTGATTCGATTTAATTTTGAGGAAATCTATTGATAGCAGCTCCTTTAGCTTTAATTAAAATGATAACGACCAATGAATCTGATAATTTGCAAACTGATATTAAATTGTGTTCATTCTCCAGTTAATTAATAAATATAGTAATTTAACAATATATTTCTTATATTCTGTAAATAATCTCTCCTGTGAAAATAAATGACTAGAATCTGAAAATCAATTTCTTGTCAAAATTAATGATGAATTTAGCAGGAAAAATGACAATTTACAGGAAAAGTAAAATTCTATTTGAGAATATTTATTTTAACAATTTTCTTATCTCTTCTTTTTTTTAATATTTTAGATTCAATCAACTTGTGAAAATTTGGTTGTCTAAATTGATGAAGCAATTAAAAGACGATTTCAGTGATAAACTTTTAGCTAAATAATAAAAGTGAAAGGCAAAAAGGCAGTCCATTATACCAATTGATGAAAAACATTTCTGAGGGTAATGGCAAGTTATCAGCAGAAGAGTCAAACGCAAAAGGAGTTATATTTGAATTTTTGTTAATTGTGCTAATATTCTAAATTTCACAGATTTTTTTTTAATAAAAATGGTTTTAAAAATCATCAATCTGAAATAGGATTTAGACTAATATGTTATATTTAATTACGAAGCAAATATTCAAAAGTGATGAAATTTAATTCTAAAATTATGAAAGGCCTTGGCTCTGAATTTTTGACCTTCTATTAACCAATTGATGAACTAGTTTCAAAGCTTTCACAAATCATGACAATTAACTTAACAAAATAAGTGAAGTAAAAGGATAGTTATAGAATAGCAATGACTCTACACAAACAATTGAATATAAGATATTAGTAAATAAAATTACTTTTGACTTTGGTTTATTTATTTAAATTTAATGTAAATTTATTATTTTAAAAAAAAAATACAATGAATAAAGATCACCAAATATTTAATTATGCAAAACAATACATGAATTTTGAAATACAAAAAGCAGTCTTATTGCGAATGCTGTCCGATTGCCTATACTACTCACCTAAAATCAGCAAGACAGATGATGATGAATAAAATTTATTATAACTATATATGATCTCTCATGGTAATCAGTCGAGATTCTTTAATATTTCTAGTTTTATTTAATTCACATTTATTAATTTTAGTTAATTTTACACCTTCTTATTCCTTATTTTAGCTAATAAACCTCCTTTGAAAAGTACTTGATTTGGGAATTGCAACCTCATCAACTATGCAAAAAATAAAAATATGATGATGAAATGCAATGCTATGATTAACTGTATTCTGCGAATGCTTCTGAATGGTCTTAAATTTACTAACTGGACACATTTTTGATACTGAAATCAAAGCATTTAAATTAGATGGCTAAGAATATATTATAGATAAAAAAGAAATTATTAAAGTCGAAAGATGCAAACATTGGCAGCTGATAGTAATAAATACTATGATTCAAATGACTATTTTGAGATGAATAATTAATGGTAATAACTATTTTGAGATAGTAGATATAACAGTAATGATGATAATTTTATTATTTTTTAATAATTGAGAAGGCGGGTTTGACAATTATTTATTTCTTTTTTTTTGCAATTTTTTATTTTATTTTTATTTATTTTTGATAATTAAGAAGGCGGATAGGACAATTTCTTTTTTTTGCTTATTTACTTTTTTTTTATGTATTTTTTTTTAAAAAAATTGAAAGGTTAGGTGTGACAATTTTTTTATTTTTTTTTGTTTATTAGCTTTTTAGTTTAGTTTATTTAAATATTAAATGACTATGACAATAATAACAATAACAAATAGCATATTTTCTTTTTAAAAACAGGTGGAACAATTTGATTTTTTTGTTTTTTTGTTTTTTTAGTTTTATTTTTTTAAAAATTAGGTGAATAGGATTAGACAATATTTTTTTTTTGCTTATTTGCTTAATATGATTGAATAAAATCATTATAAAATATAAAAAATATAAATTGAATAAATTGAAATGTAAATTATATCTGAATTTAGGCTGAATTGTATCAGAATTATCTTTGAATTATGTTTGATTTTAGACTAAATTGTAGTGATTTTAGGTAGTTGAATTAGGTTGATTTTTGCCTGAATTATATCTTAATTGTGGCTGAATTTAGATTAATTTTACACTTGATTCTAATATCAAATTATATTTGAATTATTATATCTAAATTAGTCCTATTAAAGCTGAATTATGCCAATAGGAATTAAACTAAATTTATTATAATTCAGCTATAATTCAGACATAATTTAGCATAAATTTAAACACAATTTAGACATCTAATTATTAGCTGAATTGTATCATTTCGACCAGTGTAAGATAGGGTTAGTTTATTTATAATTTGAGATTAGAGTTAATATAAGTTAAGGTTAATTTATTAAATTAGCAATATTATATATAATATATAATATACTAAATAAATATTTTCTTAATATAATTAATATAATTAACATATTTATATAGTTAATTTTTTTAATTTATTTATTTATTTAATATAGTTAATTTGTTATTATATATATATTTTAAAATATATAAATATAATAGCTTAAAACTTATAATATAAAGTAAAATTTAATAAGCTGTATTCAAAATATAATTCTCAAAATATCTTATATAACTGTATGCTTTTTATTTTACAATCTTTATCTTTTCTTATTATTTTTATTTCTTTACTTTACTTTTTTTATTATTTTATTATTAATAAACCATTTTATTATTTTTATATTATCTTCATAAGCTTAAATAATATTATACATTTTGTAAGTCTAAGTAATATTATTTTAGTTAATCTAAATAATATTATTTTTATGAGTATAACATGCATTTTCTTGAGTCTTAGTGATATTATAAAACCTTAATGAATTTTAGTGATATATAAACCTTAGTAGATCTTTATAAATATTTAAAAAATCTTTAAATAATAATAGCAATTAATCTAAAAACCAGATATTTATTAGTAAATTATTATATAAATTAAAAAAAATTAATTCTTGAATACTTGTTTATTGTAATAATTTACTAAAATTATATGTTAACAATATATATTATATAATTTATCAATAATTAATATTTTAGAACTTATAAAATTTATTTATATAATATAAAATATATAAAATAATAAATTTTAGTTTTAATAAAGAAACACTTTATTAAAAAAGCTAAAACTTTGATTTTAAATTAATTTTAAAAAGTATAAAATATTAATTTTTTGGTAAATAATTGTTAATATATTTAAAATTAATTTTAATAAATATTAAATTTTTTAATTTAAAATAATAATAATAAAAAAATATTAATAATTAAGGTTACTTATTAATATTTTATAATTAGTTTTAGTAAAATTTTAATAAGAATTTAAAATAGTTTCATCAGAATTTCTTCAGTTTCAACATTCACCATAATAGTTAACATTTTAACATATTTGCAAGTTTGTTAATTTTTTAATAAAAGTTTAATATATGGGAGCTTATCAATAGAAAAGGAGGAAATCTAAAAAAAATAAAAATTTTACTTTATATGCTAAATATGATTTTTTTAGTAAAATAAATTCAGATTTAACTTTAACTCATAAAAACTTTTTTTTAGATTTTTCCTCTTTCTATTAATAAGCTCCCATATTTTTATCAAATTTTAATATTTTGGTATTTTAGCAAGTGAATAAAATCTCTAATTTTAGCAAGTAACTTTAAATTCTTTAATAAATAAATTTGTTTATAATTTTAAAAATTAATAATTCTTAATAAACTATTAATAATACTAAAATAATTAGAATATAAAATATATAATTTAAATATAAATTTTATACTATGTTCTTAGATATTTTAAAGTTTATTAAAAAAATTAAAATTTAATTAAATCGATTTTTATATTATTTATTTATATTAAAATGAAATATTAAAATTGTAATTGAAATTCGTTAAATTTGAATGAAAATCATTACCATTTAAGGGATATCAAAATTCATTCAAAAAAATCATAAAATATAATAATATTAGATTAGTATTATTATTCAAAATCTTTGCATATAATCAACTAAACGTATGATAATATAATAAAAATCAACCCAACATGCATTCTATATATTTCAATTAAAACTGATCAAAAGATTTTCGACTTTATTTAAACAAAAAGGTTGCTGAATTATATAAATGTAAAATAAAATGAAATGAAATAAAAGATAACGATATAAAAAAAAAATTGATTCAGTCTGTGTTTTATTATTATAAAAACCAAACTTTCTACGTAGAATAATTACACCTTTTATAATTAATACACTCTAATAACCTTCAATTTATTTTAAAGAATATTATCAAAATATTTCTCAATTTTTTTATGTCCAAGGAACTTACCAATTGCAAAATAAAAAAAAATAAAACTAATTTACATTTACAACTTGGAAATCATCTCAATAACATGTCATAACAGTTAGATAACCTGCTTTATTTTATATTCTCTTCAAATTAATTGTCCTAATTCAACAAACATCTAATAATTAGTAATAAAAAGTAATAAATTTACAACGAATGGAAACAAAAAAAAATCTGCTCATTAATAAAGAGAGAATCACTAAATCTTTTTTAGAATTCAAGTTCAACATGTTCCTTTGACGGAGTTTTCTGATCTATTAAAAATAGCTAAATTTAAATATATTTCAAATAAAATAACTACAAAGTAATAATTTATTGAAGAAAGATACTTTACATACTTATTATACCTAGATCAGGAGGGTTTTTACTTTCAGCGGCAGGTGGCTGAGATGACTCACATTGAGCATGCTCAGGATGTGGTATTTCACAAGCCATTTCTTCCGTGTCAGGAATATTCAATTCACGAAAGTCAAAAAGTTGACTTGTATATTTAGCTTTTGGGTGAATTACTTCAGTTGTTGATGAATTTCTTCTAATACGCCATTGCTCGGCAACAGCGAATTCCGTATTAACCTTATAAGGGAGTTTTGGTGTCTCGATAATTTTCCTTGCCCAATCATGTAAAGTTCTATGTAACGATTCTGCACTTGGTCTTTTGGAAGGATCCGGATCCCAACATTGTTCCATGAGCGCAGTGTAACACGGCGGAGTCCCATCTACAGGCTTAAGACGCAATCCCATACATATATCAAATGCCAATTCAGAATCATGTGCTCTATCACTAAATGGCCTCATGCCTGAAGATATTTCCCACATCATATAAGCAAAGCTATAAATGTCTGAGCTTTTACTAAATTCTTGTTTTTTAATAACTTCTGGAGCAAGATAAGGTAAAACTCCATAAACTTGTCCTTCTTCGAGTTTATTGTCAATTGGACGACATAATCCAAGGTCTCCCATAGCTGTATACACATCATAAGTAATCAATACATTGCCACAATGAAAATCGCGATGTATTAAATTTGCTCCATGAATAGTTTTCAATGCTCTAGCAATGTCACAAGCCAACGATAATTTAAGTTTCCAACTTGTGTTTGCTACATTTTCTGATAAATATTTTCTTAAATTACCATGTTCCGCATATTCTAGAACGATCACATAATTTTTCGTGCTAGGATCTTGTGACATGCCATAACACTGCAACATACAATTATCCCATGAAATTCGTTTATAGTAGGCCGCAAACTAAAATAAATTAATAAATTTCAAGAATTAAGTTTTAAAAAAATTTGAGAAATTTTATTATAATTACTTTTTTTTTTCATACCTCATCAACAAATTCTTGGGTAATTTGTTCAGAATTTCGTAAAAATTTCAAAACTACTCTCTTTCGAGTATCTCGTTTCCATTTTGTTCGCATTTTCTCATCTTGTAAACTTCTTGGACCTTCCAACCAAGTAGCAGTTGAAAGAGATCCATAACCTCCTTCACCAAAATTTTTAATATAACGAAACTTGTCAAAAGGTATCCATTCCAAATAATTAAACGGACCAGCCGTAATTAATTGAGTTTCCTGGATAAAAGCATCAATAATCTTATTTCCACTTGTCCATTTCGGAAACGCGGCTTTAAATCTTCGATTTTCACATACTCGACACCAAAAACTATCAGGATCTCTACAAGTACAAAGATTTTTCGTTGATAAAGTTGAAACAACTGTAGTTTTACGTTGTGGTTCAATACTTGATTGTGGTCTTTGTGAACTATTATTGTATGAATAAAGTCCAGATTGGGTTCTTGATCTTGGAAATGTACCGGCCAATTTTCTTTCGGATGGTTTCATGGTGTTTGTTCGAACTGGCTTCTTGTTTACGACGGTAGAAGAATCATCATCAACCATTTCATCCTTATATTCAGGTTGCTGTATTTGACGTAATAAAATATGTATAGCATGCTCATGTTGATCTAATTTTATTTTTTCTTCTAATGTTTTTATTGCTTGTTCTATTGATTCATGATTTTCTAATGATTTTGTCGGTGATGTAATAATACTAGCTGAATTTGGGTCAGATTCTTCGGGATTAGTTTGATCAGATTGAACAGGTGACGCAATAGATTCCGTCGTTGCCGTTGTTGCTGTATCTTTCTCATCAAATAAAAATTCTGATGAATTCTCAGAGTTTAAATCTTTCTTTGGTGAACCACGTATTGTTAGTGATTTACTTTTCATATGTATTTTGGGTGAAGGGGGACCTGAAGACATTGGCGAACTTATGGCGCTCCTCGTTATTTTAGATTTTATGGAAGATTTATTGGTTGCTGTTACTTGTCCTTGCTATTTAAAAATTTATTTAAAAAAATTTATTTAAAAAAAAAAAAAAAAAAAAAAACGATATCAACGAAATTATATTATGTAAAATACCAAAGTTTGCCTTCTCTTCGGAGTAGTCATTGTTGCATTAATTGTCATGACTTAGAATTGATTTTTCGGGTTATTCATATAAAGTCGTGTTTTAATGTTTAATGCTCTTTTTATTCGTTAGTTTTTTATATTATATTACGACCCTTTTATTGAAAAAATAATCGATAACTTAAAAGGCGAACTCATAAAAAAAAAAAAAAAAAGTTAACCTTTTTTTCCTAAAAAAACAAACTTCTGGATTAATGACCAACATATATATACAGAAGAGCGAAAATTTAACAAATGCTTCGGAGTAAAACCATAATGGAGTTTCAAAGTAATGTTGTGACTGTATAAATTTTTTTTACGTTGTACAGGCCAATCACAGAGACTTTTTTACTTCAGGGGGGTGTTCACATAAAATATATTTGTTATTGTTGAACTCGCATTAGTTAAAAAATATCCTAAACTATTTGATATTATCAAGTTTCCTGCTTAAGAACAAATGAAACTTAACCTACAAAATTGTAGAGGATCGACCGCCAATTTTGTTACCGTATTACCGTAATTTCCGTAACGAACCCTTAAAAAGATTATCCCAATTGTACAGTTCAAAATCGAAAAGTACAGGTCGTTGAACATGTATGATAATATTTCATAAACAATGACACATTATTCAGGTGTTTTTATTTATGATGCGAATTCCCGCCATTTTTAAAGTGGTCCGCAGCTTTACGTCTACGTGCATTGTTTACAATAATGCTTTTGTTTCTAATGGCTGAAAAATTACGCATGTTATAGTATGACGGTCAAATTAGGTTTAAACTTATTTTGGAAGAGTTTATGGTTTTTTCAAATTCACAATGAAAAAAATGCGACTAATGTCTTTAAGGTAAAAGTGATATAAATTAATTTATTCATGCATAAGTATTATGCAGTTTAGTAAACGATGTGCTCAAGTACTAAACTTTCTCACGATAGGTGATAATGGTATTCAAAAAAAGCTTTGATTGCATCAAAAAACTCAACCTAATATTATTCCTAAAAGAAAAAGAGTTCGTTTTGATTTTGATCAAAGAAAAATACTTTATCTATTTATAGTATTTGTCAAAATGCCAAAATCCGGTAAACCGGAATAGAATTTATTTATTTATATTTTATTGTTCTCGTTCTTGCTTAATCGGGTTTAGTTTCTTTGATTAGAAAGAATCATTTATTTATTAAATCCTTACTATTTAGTCACATGAACAAAATATACTCAATTAATATTTAATTTAATAAATTACTGTAATATAGGTTTTTGATACTTATTTTAGATGATCTTTTATATAATAATAATCAATTTTTTTTTTGTTTCAATTATATTTAAGATGTTAATTATATTAATTAAGTATCTATATAATATATAACTATTATAATCAATATTAATTATCATTTTTAAAAAAATGTAATTATAACATTAATATATAACTAATTACAGGAGACTTAATTAATTACATTGATTATTAGTAATGACCAAATAGACAAAATTTTCAAATAGTACACAAAAGATCTCTGACCCACTCACGAATCAATTCTAGCTATATAAATCAATTATTGAATTCAATCCTTTTACATGATTTAACTCAAATTTAGCTAATCAAAGATGTTGATATTGAACTTAGCTAGGAATTAGCCTGTCTGATACCAAGAATTATACTGTTTAATAAAGACATTCTAGCCTGATTTTAATTTCAAATAATATATCAAAAAAATTATAATACTATTTGCCATTAGAAGTAGATGAAAATATTGAGAAAAAAAGTGAATAAATATTTGAGTCTACGATTCTTGCAAACACAATATGTATAATAACTTTTATGCTATACTACCGTATTTTACTGAAAATAAGCACATTCTAAAAATAAGCATAAACATATTTATATAGGACCTGAAAATTAGCACATTTGTAAAATTTATTGTAAAAATTTAACCAAACATATTATAAATGCGAAATAATGTTTACAAAAAAAAGAAATAAGCTATTATAATTTGTTAAAAGTATTATCGCTAAAAACTTTCATCATTAGTTTCACTTGTTACCAATTCCTCAATCTCTGATTCTACTATATCAATTCTAATTACATTCTTCATCGACTTCTGATCTATCAGTCTCGATTTCTGATTCCTTTCCATCTACATCAGAATTTACCAATGAATATATTATATAATACTTCGTAAAAGATTCAATAATAATTTCATCAGAAATTTTCTCCCATGATCGCTTAACCAAACCATATGCATCGCTTATTTTAGCACGCTGAAGGTTTCCGTTAGCAGTATTTCTAGTACTGCCACTTACCATTCACAGATGCCACTCTTTTTGGAGGTTATCCTTAAATGGCTTGTTGATTGCAACATCAATAGGCTGGCAGTTACTTGTTAATCCACCAGGAATCACCGCTAAATAAACGTTACTTTCGCGAAACTTATTTTTGACCGATCCTTTCAGGTGACCTTTGAATGAGTCGTATACTAGCATTGTTAGATCCTCAAATCTATTATCATTAAAGTAATCAATGTAATTTTCATCAAATTAACATTCATCCACCTATTCTTCTGGAACCAAACTATAACACCATAAGGAATTTTTTCTTTTTCATCGCGTGCCAATCTTTTTTCTTTAAATATGCAAATAGGAAGTAATTTGGTCTTATCTTATTAAGTAAATTCAAATTTAGTAAGGTTAAAAACCTACAAAATTTGCAGAAACTACTAAAATATATAGACAAAGACAAGATTTCAAAAACTTATCAGCAGCACATGTAAGAACAACTGTAAATCAATTTTTTTCATTTCTAGTTCTACGAACATGAACTATTTTTTCACCTCTTTGATTAACTGTAAAATTACCTGCTATATCGAATCAAATAGGCATTTCGTTCATGTTATAAATATCGTACATTTTAAAAGACTTTTTTATCCTAAGTTGGGTGATAAATCTATTAAAACTCTCTAGCAATTCTTTAGTATGTTCTGGGAGTTTCTGAGATATTTTTATGTGTCGACGTAATACCAGCTTATGCCTTTTTAAAAATTTACGTAACTAGCTAAGTGACGCTTTAAAATTATTAATTGAATTATAAATAGTTATTATACTAGATTCACTTAAAATTTCCTTCATTTTATTTTGTATTACTAAGTAATTTACAGCCAATCCTTGCTTTCATTGCTTAATAATCCAATCATATAAAACTTTTTCAGCTTCAGGATATAAAGCCTTTCGACCAGAACCAATTTTCTTTTTTTTGCTACTTGTATTGGTTGTCCAGGTTTTACTTGCTCTAACCCAATGTCCAACTATACTAATATTAAGATTAAAGTGGTTTGCCACTGCACGTCTGTCATGTTGTTCTGTATAATTAACAACTTCCCTTTTCTTTTCAATGGAATATGAAGTTCGTCTAACCTTTCTAACAACTCTTTTACATTTTGTAGCATTTTTTTAACAGGTTTAAAACAGGTTTCGCGTTTCATTAACTGAGATGATATGATAACCATTAAATAAGATTTAGCGCAGCTTTCTATAAATCACGTGAACTACCTGAAAATAAGCATCTCTATAGTAAAAAGATATGCTTATTTTTGGTAAAATACAGTATTTATTTTTGATAAAGATAAGAATATTGAGGAACAAGTTATGAAATATTTGTCTATAACAAATTGCAAGCCTAAAATGCATACTATATTTCATGATATCTTAGAATTAATTCTAAAGCTATTTCTTATCTGATTTCATAGGTCACTAAGTCTCACCTTTTGGTATCATATGTTAAATCTCACCTTTTAGAGGTGAGTAAAGATGGTTTTCATAATTATTTTTAAATTTTAATTGAGTTATAACTTAATTACGCTATAAGAAAATTTAATTGTACCATAAGTTGCAACTTAATTGCACCATTTTTTTTAATTATAATGTCTATATTTAGAGGTGAGATTTAGTTGTTATCTAAATTACAAATCAAAAGCTTAATAAATAAGTTCTAATCTATCACTATTTTTTTGATATACAGGAAATCAATTTAGAACTATTTCTTTTTCACAAACTTTAGAACACAACCTTGTATTGCTAATAAGTTTCACCTTTAAGTCTCATCTCTAAAGAATAATAAATTTGTAAATCAAAAGTTTATTAAGCAAGTTCTAGCATGCTAATAATTTTTTGATATGCAAAAAACATTTCAGGACTCATTTTCTTTACATAAATCCTAGGACAAAAAATTACACCTCTAGGATGTATATACTTAGTCTTATCTTTAAGTCCTATCTCTGAAGTAATATATATGTATACTAAATCTCACTTCTAATTCTCCCCTTCTTTTTTCTCAGAAGATATAAGAAAGGATCTCATATTTTATTAAGTCTAACCTCTAAGCCTTCTTTCGCAATTTATTATAATATTACATCATATAATATCCTCTAATTTAGCATATCACCTACATGCTGTAGTAATAAGTTTATCACAATTAGTATAATAATAGCACTTTCTAGTCTTTCAATAATACTGGTTCCCTCTGGTCAGATATAAGCATTATCATAAATCTTATCAGAATTATGAAGATACTCGCAAGTATAAGAAGCCTTCATTTATAATAGAAATAAAAATTTTAATTAAACAAAATTATCTGCTATATAGAAAAGTATGAGGCAAATATACTTTTATATAATAAGTATAATAATTAAATTATCTAAGTTGAAAAGGCTTTAATAAATATAGTTAAAGTAGAAATATATTATAAAAGTCCAAAGAATAGCAAATTCATGCAAAACTATAAAGAGTAGGTAAAAAAAAATTATGCTAGATAGAAGATCCTGATGCATATATTTTAAAAAATGCTAAAAGATTATTTCTATCTAAGAATAAGTACCAACAGATTATAAATGATTACAAATCATATTATGATAAAGATTCAAGAATTTTAATGCCATAATAGATTTATATAAGTTATATCGTAAATTAGTTAAAGATTATTTTATTATAAAAAAACAAGTTGATGAAGAAACAGAAGACTTTTTTAATAAGTAAGTAT